GGACTCTTAAACTGACTCCTTGATTTAGGGAGAGATTTTAGAGAAGGGGAGACAAAAAGTAATTCACACAATTGCCAATTACAGTTGCCTTTTGTCAGGGCAATTCAGAAGTTGTCCCCCCCGTGTGCCCAAACAGGTTGGGGAAGAGGTGGTGACCCAGCTCAGACTCAACAAAGCAACACTCCATGGAACAGGTTGCATCAGACTAAAGAGTGGCACAGCTTACAAAATCAGGGTCTAAATCCAAAGCCCATTGAAGTCAATAGAAGGACCCCAATTTACGTCAGTTTGCACTGGACCAGACACACACTGTTTATGCCGGGAAGCTCTGTGTTGCTTTGTACCCGAGGTTGTTCCTTAAAAGTATAACCTGGCTTTTATCTCTTGTTGTTGGGGTTTTTTTCAGGCCAAATTGCAGGTGGGATTTCTGGTTTTAAGGATAAAATAAAAAAAAATGCCGTCAAAGTAAACAAAAGGCAGAGAGAATAGGTATTCTACAAGTGTACGTCAGGGTGGATCCCATGGCAGTTGCAGATGCACCTCGTGTGTCCGAGACTGCACCTTTTGAATAGCATTGTCCATTGGGGCTGCACCTTGTGCTGCCTCGTACACCTGTGTGAGGGCACAAATCCAGAAAGGGTAGAGAAGTTGTGACCTTCCCTCTTGCTGCTTGAGACAGAAAGTAGTGAGCGTTCAACCCACTACTTTCTTAGAGATTTTCCCCTGGCTAGTCTGTGAAGAAAACTTACCTTAAAACTCCCATTTTCCTTGACTTAGATGTTCTGGGGGGAAAAGAGAGAGAAAACTGTTCATGACATATACCTTCCCCGCACGCCTGTACAGCAAGGTGAAGCACTTTGCACCAACTATCATGCTTCATGGTGGACTCTGAAATGTCATGGTTCAAACCACATTGGTCTTGTGATTGACTAATTTCTATCAAAGATGGACATATTTGTTGCCTCTTCAGCTGAGGGGAGAGTCACATGCCTGACAGGTGCTCTGCATACAAATCCTTCTCTTCAGTTACCCACAAATCCAGTGCTGCTGGGTTCAAGTTACATCTGCTAGAGAAATGGGTCACTTTGGAAACAAAGGTGACAGTCACTACCAGAACGAGACCAAAAAAAACATCATTGGCCAGTGCGCTCTCAAACACACACCATACCCTCGGCTCAGGGAGTATGTGTGGGGGGTGGGAGGGAGAGGCAGGAGAAGGTGATGCTGGTGCTGACAGAGTCGGCAGTGGAGATTTGTGTGTTGACAATCTCAATGTCCATGAAACCCTCAACACCAAGGTGCTGGCATCTCGGGCAATAAAGTCAGCACCTCTGCAGAAGGTCAGAACCAAAACACAGAGCCAAATGGAGCATAACTCCAAATCGAGATACGTCTGCATTTATCTGCGTCTCCTGAGATATGTTCTCTATGTTGAAGGAATGACTGGCACAGGAGCCAGGTGCCCGTGCAAAAGATTCTGATCTTGTATGCACGAGGCACATATGTACTTATAGTGAGATCCACACTGACTACAACATGTTGAAGAGCTACAGTTTTGTAGGTTCTTTTTATAAAATATGAAGCACAGAAAGTGTCGCTCTTTGCAGGGTCTCTTTCTCAATATATTAACACTCTTTGACCATCTTTCTCTTTCTGGAGTCAGGTCTACACTAAAAAGTTAAGTCGAAAAATCCACACACCTGAGCAACGTAGTTAAACGTACCTAACCTCCGCCACATGTACACAGCACTAGGTTGATGGAAGAATTATTCTGTCAACCTAGCTGCCACCTCTCAAGGAGATGTATTAACTATAGCAACAGGAGAAACCTTCCCATTGCTGTAGTGAGTGGCTACGCTGAAGTGCTACAGTGGTGCAGCTGCAGCTGTGCTACTGTGGCCATTTAAGTGTAGAGAGCCTGAGTTTTCTATCCACCCTTGTACTCTGATGTTCAGGAGAAGAAAACTGAGGTGGTTGAGGAACAGCACAGTATTATATAACCACCACCAGGTATGCCAGTGGGCTCCCCAATGGGCACCATGTACTGCAAAGTTATGTTAATTTATTAAGGTTTGCAGAATTGAGCCTTCTAAATACTGTTGTTTAGGATATTCTATTTCAGCTTGTCTACTTAAACTGTACAATATACAAGTAGGCAATTGCACTTGAGAAAAAGGTGTCCAAATTATGCAGAGAACTTTCTAAATCTGAGCTTCTACTAAATTAGTACTTCGCATGGAGACACTGAAAGTATTAGCCAAAAGGCTACACGTTTCTAAGTATCTGGGCCATCTTATAGTGGTGTAGTGAAGTGTAACACTGAGTTGCCAGTATGTGCAGACTCCGAGTTGCCAGTATGTGCAGACTCCATGTCGTAACAATTTTGACAAGGAATATTCAATTACTTTAATACATGTGGTGGGAAGGAAAATGTGTGCTTACCAATGAATGTGTGCTGTTTTGACAGTAGGTTTACCTGTCTTAAGGTCTGCTTCCCCCCTGTGCTGTGTTAATGGGTTTTAGAAAAGCAGTTCAAAAGCAGTGTTGCTGCCAACCTTATTTTTTTAAAATATTATAGTAGTTTGATACGAGATGCCTTGTGTCCCCGACCAGTTCTATTTGCAGGCCCCTGTCTTAAGAATGTTTTGTTTGTAACCTGTGACATTCATAAATTGGTGTTCTACTGTGACTTTTTATTAATCAGTTGAATTGCAGAGATTCTGTAGTAAAAAATTTAATGTGCTGCACTTATAGGATTTAAAGACTTCTAAATGAATCTTCTAATTTAAAAATAAAGATCTGTTTTCCTAATAGTTTTATATTTTTGTACATTTAAAATCTAAGGAAATCAATCAAATGACAATAACCAGATGGTTTTAATTAAATACTTATTAGTGCCATGTTAAAAAGCAGAAATAATTTTCTGTTTTCTTTTTGTGTCGTCTTTGTGACCATTTTCTCAGCTAAAACATCTAGTTTTTTCTTTAAAAATCATTTTATTCAGTAAAAGTTTTTCTTCCAGTACAGGATCTATATTAAATAACAAATGCTTGATTTTAAAAGAAATTCAAGTATGACTTTAATTCGCAAAAGTAAATAAATTCTTTATTGAGAGTGAAACTGCATCCTTAGCTCAATGTGTTGTGCTTAGGTACTTCAGCAAATATTTATTATTGGTCCTATAACAACTTAATTCCAACACTGCCTGTGTATCAAAGCATCTTTGTACACAAGTGTTATTGACTGGCTATGTCGAAAGAAGGACAGCAGACATTTGATGTGGGTTTAATCAGGCCACAACTTTATTATTAGATATCTGGGACTACCCGGCAGATAACAGTGTACAGTGCAGGTAATCCCATGTTTATTCCAAAATTACCTGGGGGGCTTTTACCTGCTCCCCCTCTTTTTCCATCCAGGTCCCTCCAGCAAATCCATGGCCGGGACCTTACCATATCCGGGGTGAGGGGTTTGCACCAGCTCCCCCTCTTTTTCCCTCCAGGTCCCGCCAACAAATCCATTGCCGGGACCTTACCATCCACCCCACGTAGGAGAGTTAAGATGGGCTATAAGAATGGGGGGTTGGCTCCCTGCTGTACCAATCATAGGAATCCCCACCCACCCTCTGTTTGTTCCTTTAATGAACATCTCTTTTTAAGTCCTTTTCCAAGCCATTTATCCGATCACTATATACTTTTCCTATGGACTACCTGCACTTAACATCTGCCCTACACTTTAAATAATGAGTTGCTTCAGCCTTGGTCCACGTAAAAAGGAAGGCTCAAGGCATCATGCTGCCCCTTTTCAAAGCCTGCATTCCCCGGGGTTGCCCCTTTTGTAGCAGTTTTCATCTCTTCCCCTTCCCTCCCCCCCAGCCATAAAGCACTGTTCCCTTCACTCATGGGGGAAGCTCTTCACACTTTATTTTTAAAGCATATTTTCACAAATACACCCTTATATCAGAGTAAGTTGCCCAGGATTTTGCTTAATCATTATGTAAGGAGATGTGAAACTTTATTATTTCCTAATCAAAGAGCCAGTATGGTCTAGTGGACCAAACATAGGGCTGGGAGCAAGGTATTGCAGAGTTCTAATTTTGACATAAACTCGTGTTATCCTTGGGCAAATTACTTACCCTTTCTGTGTCTTGTTTGTACCATGGCCTGTCAGCCAAACATCCCCCTGCTTAAAGGCGCAGGGCGGTCATTAAGGATGTTGACACAACTGTTGAAATAGTGTCAGAGCTAACCAGCAAAGAACAGTACACATTTTCTAGAACATATAAAGATAGTAGCTATTATTTTTCATTAATTCCTCAGCAATGGGGTATTACATTAAAAATAAATAAATAAATGTAAGTATTGAGCCTGCAGCGGCTGGGAGCTGTGGAGGCCCCTGTTGGCTGACAGCTCCAGCCCCGCTGTCCCAGGGCTGCAGCATAAAATCTCACGGAGGTCTCTGGAAGTCACTGATTCCATGTCCTCCGTGACATAATCTTAGCTTTATTTATAACTGGTCTGTTGTTCAATGTTCACAGCCAATGCAATTATGTGTATGTGATCATTTATTGTAACATAAATGAAACAGCTTTTATTTTCTTTGTCCCAAATATAATCTGAATGCATGTCTCATCTGTTCCTGTAACACCTACCTTCATTGTAAGAATTGACAGTACAATGCACAGTATAGTTTAGCCACTGTTGTCCTTTAATGATGATGAACGTACTCCTGTTTCTCAACTGCCCTGTGCTGCTGCAGATTTCAATCCTAACATGGCAGGGGTGAATAATCTATAAACATTTATGATGTTTCTTCATGCTCCTCAGAGTTTTCATTTTGCAAATTATTATTGATTAAAAAAATAATTGCCTTTTAATTTTTAGTTTAATAGCCAGAAGCTACTCATTAGAGTTGATTCTTGAAATTGTAGTATTTCTTTTTTTTGTCTGTTATGCTTTGTTTCTTTCTAAGTATTTTTCATATTACTGTTTAATCAACAGGGATGCACTCAATCTTCTGCAGCAGAAACAGAAGAGCAAAGCTGCAGAATCGAGACCTATCGTTTCTTCAGCCCCTACTCAGCCTACTGTAGTGCCTTTGGCTCCACAAGCAACAACTGTGTCCTCTGTTTATCCGCGTCCTGCAGTTCCACCAATTTCTATACCGGGTCAGCCTGCAGCACAGGTAATACTTCTGTTAAAGCAGCAACTTGCATTCCGTTACAACAGTGGTTCCCTGTTCCCGCAGCGCCCATTGGCCGGGAACAGCGAACCGCAGCCACTGGGAGCTGCGAGTGGCCGTACCTGTGGACGCTCAGGTAAACAAAGCATCTTACGGCCTGCCAGGGGCTTACCCTGAACAAGCCGCGAACCAGGTTTGGGAACCGCTGAGTTACAACTAAATAATGCCACATCTTTGCATTTTAATTAAAAAAAAATAATAATAATGACAAATATGTTGAACTTCATTTTAGTCAGTGTTATCAAGCGATTGAAAACAGGGGCCTGGGATTCAGAACTCATGAGTTTTATTCCCAACTCTGCAACTGACTTGCTGTGACCATAGGCATGTCACTTAACTTCTCTGTCCTTATCTACACTCAGAAAAAGGTGCTTCCCCCTAACCCCCCACTGAATTAATTCAATTAAGCTACTTTAACTGGACTGAAAACTGCACTTAACATCAGTGCAAACACAGTTTAACACATTTAGCATGACGTGGCTATATATCAACCTGCTAAAGACATTAAATTGATGCTAAGTGGGTGTTTAAGTTAAGTTAGGTCAGTTGAACTAAAGTGATCTTTTTGATCAAAGTTGATCTCCATTTTTACCTCAGTTGAGCTAACCCAATTGGGGGAACCTCCCTCCCCTGCCTTTCTCTCCCCCCCGCTTCCCCAGTGTACTTAAGGCCACAATGGCTAAGTTTTCCCCTACCTATACAATAAACATTACCTGTATCTGATTATATGTATAGCACTTTGAAATCTCTGAATAATAAGAGGCATGTGAGTGCAAAATTCTATAAGCATGGATTAAAAATAAATATAGGTAAGGAGTGTAGAGTTGGATTAGGCAAGGGTTAGAGGATTGGGGTTGAGTAAAGATTGTTTGTGTTTAAAAAATGTCAAAGGCTCACAAGGTTTTCTCTGAATAGTTGGGCCCGAAATATTGAAAGATCCATTATTTTGGGGGGAATTCCACTATGCTGGAATGCTTCAAGACAGGATCTGTGAAATTGGACCATTCTGGTTCTAGAACCAACTTTGAAGTACCGCTGCAGGTTCAGGGCTGGTATCTGTTGACAATTTATAAGAGTTATAGAGCATTTGGTATTCTATGATGAACCATGCTAAAAAATGTAGATTTTTTTTTTTTTTTTTTGTTAAAAAAAAAAAAAAATTTGTCCTACACATTTTTTTCTGTCATGATAAAAAAGTGCTTTGCCTGCAGCTATATCCGAGCACACTGTGATTTGTATTCAACCTACAGTGTATATGCTGTATAATTTCGGAGAGTATTTCTTGTGAGATCCACATGTTTTTCCTGCTTCATATTTTCATTGGTATTACAAGTAATTGTGTGCAATATAGTTCCCTTTCATCAAAAGGTTGTGAATGCTGAATTGTGACATGACTGAATGAATTGGGCAGGAGAGGCAGGTTGATGACAAAGGAGAGAGATGTACAGTGAAACCTGTCTTAAGCAACCACTGAAGGGATTGATAAATCGATAGCTCAACAGAGCTTCTATTAACAGTCTTCTACTAAAATAAAGGTGCATTAGAACTGTACTCTGCAGGCCCTAAACTGGTGTAATACCGCAATGCTGATTTCACCAGCTGAGAATCAGGGCTGATATTTTTGGAGTAATTTGCTAGATCAGTAGGATTCATTGTACTCTGTAAACTGAAGTTATCTTGTTCCTTGTCAGTGATAAGAAATACGGGCAGAATAATAGAAATCGGGTACACTTTCCCCCCCCAAATGTATATGACTGTGAATTTTCTTTAAAGAAGATTGTTACTTGTCAGTATTGTTTGTGTGGACCACCCATCTTGATTTCCTTTATCTGCTGAAGATCAAGTACTTGTATAACATGTTGTAGTACTGTGCCTAGAATCTCTGTGTTTATCCAGATTTAAACCTGGCAGGCATGGTGCAATGGAGCAAATATTCAGATTTTTTTTTAGTCTTCATTTTCTTACACTTCAGCTTTATGGAGTAAGATAAAACAAACTGTACTGCATTAATTTCCTTGGTTCTGTATAACCTGTTGTGCTGGTCTGAATATGATTTTTCATTCTGCTATCTTTCAGCAAGAATAGAAAATTCAATTTATTTAAATTTAATTTTAGGCATGTTAAATACTAGCTACATTTTAATGCTTTTTGAAAGTTGAGGTTTGTTGTAAGTGAACAAAAGCTACCAATTGAAAAGCATTACTGCCCTACTCTTGTTTCAGCAGAGGAGTGTGTGTGTGTTCTCTCCCTGTATTTAGTATGCAAAATATTTGCTTTCAGGGTACATTCACAGAAGTCCCTGCCAGCAACATCCGAAGAGTTATTGCTAAGAGATTAACAGAATCTAAAACTACTGTGCCTCATTCATATGCTACTACTGACTGTGACCTTGATGCTATCTTGAAACTAAGGAAAGAACTAGCAAAAGGTTGGTAAATGTTATTTATTATTCAAAATAAACTGATCTAACTGGACTACCTTGACCTGCTATACAATTAGTTACACCCACGCTCTCTGTACAGAGTGACTAGTCTTCTATATTGAGTTTCAGTACTGGGCATTCAAATAAACTTTCTTTCTTTGTGCTACGACAATTTGTTTTTCTTAAAGAATTTTATTTTCATTAAGACACTTCTTGTTTCACTGTCCTGTCTTAAGCAACCACTTTGTGTCTGTTTCTGGGGAGGCTGGTGATGATTGCTATGTGATTTTCATGTATGTCTACAAATCTAAAATCAAGTAAAAGTTATCATGGTGTGGGTTTTATTTTAAATTTGATTTCATTCAGCATGTTGTTTTTAAAAGCCTCTTCCTAGGGAAATAAACATACTAGTCAAGGTGTTCTAATGCGACTTGTGATTTTGGGTACTTTAATTTTTGGAAGCCCAATATTACTGTAAAAGGGCCTGATTTTCAGAAAATGTTGAGTACCCTTCCTCTGAAGACCATGCACAGTTCTAATTTCTCAGGTTAGCATCTGAATTCACTAATCATTCTGGAAAAACATTTGCCACTCTGTTCATAGGAGATTCACTTCATACAATATTTCTTTTTTTCATAAATTCATGGCCTATCTTCCAGAATTTAGAATGCAGCCTAAAAATGACAAAATGCTTTGGGACAGATAGTGGTATAATCTTCAATCCTTAATTCTACTTTAGGGTTCATCTGCTGTATTACTTATCAAAACTGTCTGTTATTACATAGTCTTTTTTTTTCTCACTGCATTGACAGACAAGCAAAAAATTACCATTTGCTTCATCATCCTGTAGATCAGACACAAACTCTGTGATTGCTTGTGGTTACTGGAATCAGGCAGGTTCTTAGGAGACCAGAAGACTGCAATGTTATTCAACCAACCAGTATGAGAATGCTCATGCAACTGCAGATTAACATAAAGTTTTCTGATTATACAGTAGGTTCTTGTTTCCTTCAGTCCTATCTCTAGAATTCATGCAGATTTTTCTGACTGACCACCTAGAGAGTAAATATGTGCTGTATTAAAATCTTGGTCTATCGGGATGGATGCATTGTAGGTTGAATTCCTAAATGACAAATCTGTGTGTAGGGTTGTAATGATGCTCTGTTTTCTGAAAGTGTCAAATTAGGACAAATTACTTAGAGCAGGGCAGTTACAGCCCAAAGCTGGAGTTCCTTTACTATTAAGGCACCAAACCAGCCAGACAGAGAGGACTTTGGTTTTACTCCACTGGCTAACCATAAGTCACACAAGCAATTCCCTTAGACACTCCAGTTCCCCAGTATCCACCACCAATGCCACTCGTTATGGGGACAAATGGTTATGAAAACCAATACCCCAGTTAAAGAAAAAAGGTTCTCCTGATCCCAAAGGACCAAGCTCCAGACCTGGGTCAATATACAAATCAGATCTTACCCACAAATCACGCTGTTGCCAGTCCTTTAGAATCTAAAATCTAAAGGTTTATTCATAAAAGAAAGAAGATATAGATGAGAGCTAAAATTGGTTAAATGGAATCAATTACATACGGTATTGGCAAAGTTCTTGGTTCAGGCTTGTAGCAATGATGGAATAAATTGCAGGCTCAGATTAAGTCTCTGGAGTACATCCACAGCTGGGATAGGTCATTCAATCCTTTGTTCAGAGCTTCAGTTTGTAGCAAGGTCCCTCCAGAAGTAAGAAGCAGGATTGAAGACAAGATGGAGGAGCTGCAGCAGCCTTTTATAGTCTCTTGCCATGTGGTCTCTGCTTTCTTTGTCCCAAAGACAAGCTATCCAGCACATGGCATAGAAAAACCTTAGAGTTCTGTCCATAGGCATGTCTCTGCGTATCTTGCTGAGTCACAAGGTGTATCTGCCTTTTCTCAATGGGTCAGTTGTATAACTGATGGTCCTTAATGGGCCATCAAGCAAGCTAGGCAGTGCTGACACCACATTGTCTGGGGTGTTACCCAGAAGCATAGCACAAGTTTGAAATACAGACAGTATAGAGCCAATACTTATAACTTTAAATACAAAAATGATGCATGCATGCAGATATAATCATAACCTTGTCTTAGACACCTTATTTGACCCACTTTATACAAGATTTGGTGCCACTACAGGACTTTGGTTGCAACAATGATCTTTACGGTCCCAGTTCATATTAATAACGTCACAAGTATGTTGTGGGAAATCCTATTGGAAAAATACACACATGCCCTTTCCCACAACGTACACTACTGGAAGCCTGGGTTTTGGTAGCCTAAAGCTGATGAAGCTACTGGGAAATGAAAGGTAATCCAGTATGACTAAAAGCTTTGTGTGGCTATGTCTTCGATAGGAAAAAAAAAAGGGTGTTCTTAACTCATGTTAGTTAGCACATGGTAACCAACGAGGTAAAATCCCAATGAAGACGAGGCAATTTGTAGTTTTAACATGAACTAGGAGATCTTACCTTGAATTCAGTGTGATTTATGCATTAGCTCTAGTATTTACTTTAAGCATGTCAGAAAATGGAATTTCTGTCCTGCGGAAAATTCTGACCGTTTGGGGAAACTAATAGTTTCATTTTATGCTGAAACATTATAATATAATAGAAAATTAAATATATAAAAATGTAATAATAGAAAAGTTTAAATGAATCCAAAGGAAATAGTCTAAATGACTATTTTCAAATGTTTCCATCAAAGATTTAATCTAAATTGACACATTGCTGCAAAACATTTTAGATTTTGATGACACTGCATTTTCTGTCGGAAAACTGTTAAAATTTTTCTACCACCTTTATTAAATATACAGATTCTAGTACTCTGCTGAATTGGGGCCTGACAAACAAAATCCTACCATTTGGTGGTGAATACTGAAATTTGTAAATCCATCCTACTTGAGTGCTATCTCAGCTCTATTCAAGGTGCAAAGACATTTTTTTAAGAACTTCTGTTGTCCAGGGTCAAGTTGGAACCCAAGTGAAGTTGTATTCTTTATATTTGGTGAACTATGTAGACTTGGGAGTTTTCATTGCCTTTGAAGAAACTAGCTATTATATTAGCTGACTTTAGTCACTGTTTGTGGGTACGAAGGAACCCATTGTACTTGTGGCAGAGGAAAAATTTAAGCAGCCACTTAAAAATCCCTATATTTATCTACTCAGAAATCTTCCCTCATTGTACCTAATGTTAACAGTTGCATTGTTGTTTGTGAATATATCCGATATTTTTAGTTGCCCTCAGATACAGAACTGAGGATATTATAAGGAGTATTTGTTATTACAGCCACTTATATGATCTAAAGCAGGAGTCGGCAACGTTCGGCACGCGGCTCGCCAGGGTAAGCATCCTAGCGGGCCGGGCCAGTTTATTTATGCATACAGATATAATCATAACCTTGTCTTAGACACCTTATCTGACCCACTTTATACAAGATTTGGTGCCACTACAGGACTTTGGTTGCAACAATGATCTTTACGGTCCCAGTTCATATTAATAACGTCAATTAATTCGGCCGATCGCGGCCCCCACTCGCCGCGGTTCGCCGCCCTGGGCCAATGGGGGCGGCGGGAAGCCGCGGCCAGCACATCCCTCGGCCCGCGCCGCTTCCCGCTGCCCTCATTGGCCCGGGACGGTGAACCGCGGCGAGTGGGGGCCGCGATCGGCCGAACCTGCCGCGTCAGCAGGTAAATAAACTGGCCCGGCCTGCTAGGGTGCTTACCCTGGCGAGCCGCGTGCCGAACGTTGCCGACCCCTGATCTAAAGAGAGAACACCACCATAATACAATCTATTTTTTAAATGCTGTTACTAGAAATGTGAAAAAATCTAAACTGTTTCCATCAGACCTTGAAGTTTACAGGCTGACTAGCTCAAACCAAATATAAAACTCAGTATGCCATAATGTCATACTAGAGAGGTTACAGGTTTATCATGATCCAAGACATATTGCTCTTTAATAAATCTTTATTTATTTATTTAAGAAGAATTCTATCTTCTGGCTTAGCCAATTAGAAATTTTAGCCTGAGGCAAAGCTTCTCTTCTGTTCTGTAACATAATGCTTTATTATTCGATCACATTCTTTACTGTGTTCTATTTAAAGGACTAGTTCTGATTAATTATTCATTTTAATAAGTTCATATACCACTTACATGAAGATGAAACCAGTCTGGTAAACTGTGGAGTCATGTGATAAATAAATTTATCATGCACCTTTGACCTGCCTTCTGCTCACTAATCTCTCTCTTAAGGGTTTATTCTAACATTGTAAATCCCTCAGTAGTTGCAAACACTTGCCATAATTCTTAATCAACCTGCTCTGGAAAATTTTCCTTAGTCTCCCCCAAAATGTGACATTTTCTCTACAATGATGTGCAAGATTCATTCCTGCCCTAGTGATATCTTTTCTGTACATAAAATATCATTACATTAGTGTCTGTCTTACATCCCTGCAGAGGACTTAAAAGTCTATTCTCCCACTCAGTGGACAGTCCTCTGTCTAATTTAAACCAGTTATATCTGAATCTCTCACTTCCATGAATTATAATCACATTTATTACTTTTCATTTTTTAGGAGGAAAATGCTTTAAAATAATTGGGAAAACAATGACTGGTTCTCCTTTTGATGAATCTAGTAAATTATGTTGATGGAAGGCACATGTAATCACTTACAATTAATTTATCAGTGTATAAAATTCAGATAATCTAGGGACACAGATCTATCTTTGTCACTTTGCAAATCTAATTTTGGACCATATCGCTGTGAAATCTCATTTTTTCCCCCCACAGAAGTGTAGACTTCATAAACCCAGCAGCAAAGCTCAGCTCTCCTTAATTTTTTTTAAATGTGTTCAAGAACTCTCATAAATAAAGTTTATGTAAGTAAATATTAGGCTGAGCCAAGTCTGTTAGTGAATTAGGATTAGAATTCTGAATGTCATTTCTTTTACATCAAAAGAAAAATTTGTCTTTAGCATGTCATA